GTTAAGTGCTCCTAGGTTAAATCTTTGGTAGAGAGGGTGGGGGACATGAAAGCTGACTAAAATGTGAAGTCTCCTAAGTCTGCACACACTTGACCACCAGCTTGATGTTTCATGTATGTTGTTTTTGCTGTCTTTTGCGGAGAACCTTTCTATTGAAAGATTATTAGAGAAGATGAATACTTGTAAAGCCTCTCACCTTGGCTCCATGTATGTTATCCCCATGTAATATTACTCAGGGTAAACATAAGAATATTTAGGTTATTAAACTCCATACAAAGATACTGAATAGTGGATGACAGGATAAAGAAGCATTTCAGTAATGAAACAATATTTGTTGTATTAGGTAGATTTGTTATAAGGTAAACAGTATATATTATTTTATTGAGGTACACAGATTGAGAGTACATACAGTATTTTTATTTGGAAGTAGAGTGGGTAGTATTTTAATATTATCAGAATTTTAAAATATGGTTAATTTGCTTTATTAAGAGTCGTCAGAATGAAACCAAGTCTGCTTTGAGGGAACAAGAAAGGTACCCAACTTTTCCTTTTTTGGGTTTACCTGCCATTTAGAAACTGAAAAGGGTAAAAAGGAAATAAGCCAGGTAAGACAGGAATAATGAAGTGAAAAAAGAGTGGAAAACAGAAATGGTTTAAAAAGCAAAATATAATAAAAGCAAAAGTAATTAATATAAAACAGGTAAAGAAAAAGATAAATATTATAGCAGCTGTAAGGAAAAGTTGAAGGTCTTACTAGATCCAATTATTTTCTTGGTATCTGTACTCACATGTTACATATCCAAAACAAAAACTTTTGATTAAGCCATAACATAGTTTCAGTGTTCCACATTTTAATCAATGGTACCTAACTACCTAATTACCCAAGTCCTGGTACCAGAAATGTATTCTCGAACACTCTCATCCAGTCCATTACAAGTTCTACCCTGTTTTCTATATCTCCTTGGTAGCAGACGTGGTCTAAGCCTCCATTACCTAGACGGTAGTGRTGTTCTCTCTCTTTTTGTTTAAATATTTATTTATTTATTTATTTAGTTTTCGGTGGACAGAACATCTTTATTTTATTTTTATGTGGTACTGAGGATCAAACCCAGCGCCCCACGAATGCCAGGCAAGCACGCTACCACTAGAGCCACATCTCCAGCCCAGTAGTGGTGTTCTCTTAACTGATAGGCTTGGTGCCACTCTTGTGCCCTGACAGTCTGATCTTCCCATAGCAGCTATACTGATGTTTGTTCATGTCTTTTGTGGTACCAGGGATCAAACCCAAGGCCTCATGCGTGCTAAGCAATTACTCCACCACTGAGTTACATTGCTATCCATTTTTTAAATTTTGAAATGATCTTGCTTAGTTGCCCTAGCTAGCCTCAAACTTGGAATCCTCCTGCTTCAGCCTTCCGAGTAGCTGAGATTACAAATAGGTGCCACCAGACCCATTGTATAATGATCTTTTCCTAATATAAATTAGATAATATCCCTCACTGACCTAAAACCCACCTTTGGCTTCCCTTAGACTTGGAATATAATCTAAACAGTTCATTATGGCCATAAAGCCTTTTTAGTCTGGCCCTATCTAACTCTAAACTTTGCTCAATATCCTTATCTATAAATGGGAATGATAGTAGTACCTATCTTGTAAGGACTTAAAATAATACCTGATATATAATAACTCATTAAAGGGCTATGGTTCTACTACTATACTACATCTTCACTGCTTCTTTTAATCTTTCATCACACACTCACTGTTTCTTTATGTGAATGTTCTTTTTCTTAGATTTTGACAGTTCTGGTTCCTTCTATTATTGAGGTCTAAAATCAAATATGTACTCCTAGAAAAGGCGTTCCCTGACCACTCGTCATTTTTACTTTGCTATCTTTATTGTAGTCATTAACTTCCTAAAATTTTTTCACATTTTTTTTACTTGCTTTGTGTCTACCAATAGCTCCTAGACCACAAGCTGCTTAACTGCAGGGACCTAAAACAATGCCCATTGAAATATATTCTGAATGAATACATGAAACTCATAGCCCTCCTTTTTTTCCCCCTCTCTATATACATTCGGTCCTCCTTAGAGAAGGCACACTCTCTACATATTGCTCAATATCAAATCCAGTGCCTCACATGTGCTTGGCAAGCGCTCCCCCCACTGAGCTACAACCATAGCCCCATCAGATGATTTTTGACAAAGGTGCCAAAACCATTTAGTGAGGAACACAAATGATGTTGGGAAAACTTTGTATCCCYGTAACAAAAGAATGAGTTGGGTTGGAGATGTAGCTTAGTGGTAGACTGCGTGTTTTAGCATGCTCAAGGCTCTGGGTTTGATCCCCAGAACCACCAAAAGTGTGCGAGGAGATAGAGTTGAACTACCTTACTCCATATACAATACCAACTCAATGGATCACAGACCTAAACATAAGAGCTAAAGTTATAAAAGAAAACTGGGCATACCTGTAATCCGGGGACTTGAAGCTGAGATAGGAGGATCACAGGTTCAAGGCCATCCTGAACAACTTGGCCAGACTCTTCAACAATGTAGTGAGACTTTGTCTCAAAATAAATAAATGGACTAGGAATTTAGCTCAGTGGCAAAGTATTCCTGTGTTCAATCCCAGTACCCCCCMAAAAAAAATTCTTAGAAGAAAACAGAGGGGGGAAAGCTTCCTGATAATTGGACTTGCCAATGATTTCTCAGATATGACACCCAAACTCATAAAACAATAGAAAAAAGTAGATAAACTGGATTGCATAATAATTATAAAAATTTTGAACGTTAAAGAATAGAATTATTAAATTATGTATTATTTTAAAAATTTTGTACATTAAAGAATAGAATTCAGCAGTGAAAATATTTGCAAGTCATATTTATGATAAGGGATCACTGTCTAGAATCCATAAAGAACTTTATAATACAACAACAAAGCCTGATTTAAAAATGGGTAAATGACTCACCAGACATGGTATATCCCTATAACACCAGTGACTTGGGAGGCTAACGCAGGAGAGTTACAAATTTAAGGCTAAGCTTAGCAACTTAGCAGGATCCTATCTCAAGATACAAAAAAGCAAAATAAAAACAACTAGGGATGTAGCTGGTGAAGAACCCCTGGGTTCAGTTCCTAATACAGAAAAATAAAGGGGGGGTGGGTAGTTCTCCAAAGCAGATATATAAATGGCCAAGAAGAACATGAAAATGGTCTCAAAATTACTAATCATTAGAAAAGTACAAATAAAAAAACATAGTGAGATACCATTTCCGTGTTCAAACCCATTTGTGATACTGTTTTTTAAAAATTGTATTGACAAATATGTGGGAAAATTAAGATCATTTATATGCTGCTGATCAGAATTTAAAATGATGCAACTTCTGTGTAAAATAGCCCAATGGTTCCTCAAAAAAAAAAAAACTAAACAGAATTGATAAATGATAACAGAAGTTCTACTTCTGGATGTATACCCCAAAGTATTAAAAACAGGGACTAAACAGGTATCTGTACACTCATGTTTTTTTTATTTTATTATTATTTTTTTTGTAGTTGTAGATCGACAAAACAGCTTTGTTTTGTTTATTTTTATGTGGTGCTAAGGATTGAACCCAGTGCCTCACATATGCTAGGCAAGTGCTCTGCTACTGAGCTACAGCCCCAGCCCCCTTTTATGGAACCATAATTCACAGTAGCCAAAAGGTGAAAGCAAACCAAGTGTCTGGCAATAGATACAGAAAATGTGGAATATGGTAGAATAGTATTCAACTCTAAAATGGAAGTAAATTCTTAAACCTGCTACAATATGTATGAATCTCAAAGACATAATGCTAAGTAAAATAAGCAAGACACAAATGATAAATGTTAAGTACCAAGAACAGTCATCTTCACAGAGACAGAAGGTAGAATGCTGGTTGTCAAAGACTGGGAAAGAGAGGTATTGGGAAGTTACTGATATTTTGGTATAGGTTTCAGTTTGGGAAAGTGGAAAAACCTTTGGAGATGATTAGTGGGGATATTGGTCTTAACCATGTGAACAGGAACTTCATGCCACTGAGCTACAGTTTCATATGTGTGCTCACAGTTTTTTGTTGTTGTTGCTCTTTTTTGGTACTAGGTTTGAACAAGGGCACTTAATGACTGAGCCACATTTCTAGCCCTTTTTATTGTTTGAGACTGGGTCTCACCAAGTTGTTTAGAGCTACCTAAGTTGCTGAGGATGGCTTTGAACTTGTGATCCTCCTGCCTCAGCCTCCCAAGTCACTGGGATTATAGGCATGTGCCACCACACTCAGCACACAATTTTTTTTAAAGACTGAACATATTTACAAAATGCAGATGACTTTCTTTCTAATGTAATTATTAACTCAGCATATCACAAGTTCCACAATATAACTGATAGCCTCTGATCCCTAAGCAACAAAATTTCATTTTTTAAAGCTATCCTAGGGAGCTTTTTACACTTCAGGTAACTATGACAGAAACTAGCCTCTCTTCTCCAAATTAATGCTTCCTGACCTCCATTTTGTAACACTTCAAATGTCTATATCAGTTAGAAATCATTTATCATCCCTTGATATAATTGAACTTGTATAGCATTTATGTACATTGTTAAGTAAACGATTACCTTTTGTGTTGTTGTTGTTCTGGGGAGTGAACTCAGGGGTGCTTTATCACTAAGCCTCAGTCCTTTTTATTTATTTACTTATTTGTTTGAGACAGAGTCTCACTAAATACCTGAGGCTCCAGATTTGTAATCCTCCTACTTAGCCTCCCAARACAATGGGATTACAGTCATGTGCTACCACACCCTGCTAAAAGATGACTTTCTTCTACTATGTTTTATTCTTTGATTGCTCAAATCTTTTTTTTTTTCTTGAAAGAACTGCGTGTGTGTATGTGTGTGTGAGTGTTATATGTGTGTGTAGTTATTAAAAGGCTAAAATTAAGAGAAATTATCATACAGTGAAGTTTGTCTCCCTCTCTTTTCTTTTTAGGATATTTTCTTTTCTGGATGTTGTTACCTTGTGTCGCTGTGCTCAGGTCTCCAGGGTAAGAATGATGGACATGGTTACAGAGGGACCACTTTCTGACACTAAGGATGTCAGTTTCTATAGTAGGCTGACCATTTATTTTAGGTGTTACTTGTATGTTGTTATGTTTGAAAGGGTGTTATTTCATTTATGGTATACCTTCCCCATATAATTCAATAATGGAATTCTATATATATCACCTCTAACTGTTCTATAAATCTTATTTATATAACATAAACAGAGTAGTTAAGTGAAAAGGCATTGAACATGCAAATTAAAAGGCTATGCTTGCTGGGTACAGTGGCGCATTCCTGTAATCCCAGTGGCTTGGGAGGCTGAGGCAGGAGGATTGCAAGTTCAAAGCCAGCCTTAACAAAAGTGAGGCACTAAGCAACTCGGTGAGACCCTGTCTCTAAATAAAATACAAAATAGGGCTGGGGATGTGGCTCAGTGGTTGATTGCCCCTAAATTCAATATCTGGGACAAAAAAAAAAAAAGGCTATGCTTAACTTAATGAAATTTTCTTTATTGGTTTTTTTTGTTCATTTGATACAAACACATATACATATAAAATTCTCATGCTATTTTATCCCCATGTTCTTTCCTTGAAAGATAAAATTTAAAAAAAAAATGGTTGTAGAACAAATCACTTTTCCTAAAGTCAGTTTCTACATTATACTTGACTCTCCATTTTTGTCACTTAACATTGCTGTGACAAAATGGCCATATACCCTAATCTTATTGGCTACCACTGATATAAAGGGTATAATCTCTGATGTAGAAAAATTGCTTTATGAACTGCTTCTAACCACTTTTGTAATGCAGTTATCTGATCAGTAATAAAATGAACAAGTATTTGCAGTTGTCATCTTTTTATAAATTAGGTACTAGCTTTTTGTTTGTTCATTCATTTAACAAATATTTACTGAGAGCCCACTGTTTGCCAGGTACTGATATGTAATATGGCTGCACCATAAAGTATTATGTTTATCTGTGTAGGTGGGCCCAGATGTCCCTTCAGACTACTAGCACCACACATAAATCTTAATATAGAGAATTTCCCCTTATTCTAATTTTAATTTCTGCATCCTGAAAGCCATACTTAATGTCTGTCAGCCATTTTGGAAATTCACAATGGTGCTTCAGTGATTTCTCTTTTGACATTTTTATCTCCATTAGTTGTGTGGTCCCTTTAGACATGGCCATTTACAAGTGAATGAATTTTCCTTTCTGATTCCATTGTGAAGGTGACAAAACACCCAGAAACAAAATTCCCAGATCAGTGTCTAAACCTGTTTAGTTACACAGCCTTACCCAAGGAGTGTTGACTTAAATGAGTTTTCAGTTATTGTTTTCATTTGCAGGTTCCTCTTCCTTCTTAATATGTGTTAACTCTAAGGGAAGGAAGTCACAATGTCAGTTTTCATTAAATCTGGAAAATTTTATATTAGTAGTTGTTTTATTGTTTTCTTTCTTTCCCACCCCTACTGTGTTTTGAACCCAGGGGTGTTTTTACCACTGAGCTACATTCCCATCCCTTTTTTTTTTTTTAGAAGGGTCATGCTAAGGCTGGCCTCAAACTTGTGATTCGCTTGCTTTAGCCTCCCGAGTCATTAGAATTGACAGGGATATGCCACCACACTTGGCATATTCTTTTTTTGTGTGTGTGCTTTGGATTGAACCCAGGAGCACATTGCCACTGAACAACATCCTCAGCCTTTTTTCCTTTTGAGACAGGGTCTCACCAAACTGCTAAGGGTCTCACTAAATTATTGTGTCTGGCTGTGCCTATAATACCAGTGGCTTATGAGGYAGGAGGATCATGAGTTCAAAGCCAGCCTCAGCAAAAAGCAAGGCACTAATCCGCAGCCTCCCAAGTCCCAGGAATTATAGGTATGGACCACACTGCACCAAGTTTATATTCCATTGTTCTCTATACTTGAAGGTTGTTTTTTTTTTTTTTTTCAGTGCAGACTCTAGAGAGGAATCTGTCATTTATAATTTTAGTCTGAATTATGCATGTTTTCTGCTTGCTGAAGAACATAATAGAAGGAAATAAGAAATARCACATCAATCAGAGATTCATTTAGCCCAAAAATTTATTAAACATATAACCTTTAAATGTTTTATTGGTTGCCTCCCCTGGCTAACCACTTAAGCCACTGGAAAAATGAAGCCATTAAAAGAAAAGTAACATTAAACTTCTGAGAAAACTGCAGCTATTTCTATAATAACTCCTTGCTTACCCTCATACCCCTGACATTCTTCTTATTGATTATGTGACAGTTATCCTAAGGCTAAGTAAATCCAGAATTCTTTTTTAAAAGTTTCAGAGAAATAGCTATAAGTATAATCAATATTAAATCCCTTTTAAATCTTATCAAAGATAAGACTCATAACTTTATGACTCTAATATTAAAACTTTTGTTTATTTTGTTTTGTTTTGTTTTTGTTTTGCAGTGCTGGGGATCAAACCTAAGGCCTTGTACATGCTGGGCAATTGTTCTACCATTGAGCTACACCACCAGTCCAAGACTTTTATTTTTTAAATTTAACAGGGAAAGTTTTTAAAGGAAAATATCGAATGAGCGACAACAAATTAACTCCCACTGGACTCATTTCTCTCTTTCTTACCTCCCTTTTCTTCTTGTTTAAGATGTATGAAAATCTTAAACTTTCCATTGAAGGTGAATGAGGTGGCCCATGCCTGAAATCACAGGGACTAAAGAGCCTAAGGCAGGAATATCACAAGTTCAAGAGCATCTTGGGCAATTTAATAAGGCCTTGTCTCAAAATAAAAAATTGCTGGGGTTGTGGCTCAGTGGTAGTATACCCCTGGGTTTAGTCTCCAGTACTGCAAAAATAAAAGAATAAATAATTTAAAAAATAAATAAAATTACCACCGAATCAAGTTGGGGATAGAACGATGATTAATTGAAAAACCTACAAACCTACCTGAGTAAATTGGTAATGAGGAAAACATGAAATACAGAGGAATTATACAAAAAATATATAATTTTCAAGTCCCAAATCACCATGTCACAGTTTCATATCTAACCAAGTGATACTATAGATAATAGATATGTATTAAACAGAGCAGCATTTGGTGTACTGTCCCATTCCGTTGGTTTCACCCTCATCTTGTTTCCAATTTAGGGATGGAGCTAAGACTTGTTCTTCATCACCTAAAATTCTGTCTCATTTTGAGATTAGAAATTGGAATCTTGGGCTGGTTGGGCTGAGGATATAGCTCAGTTGGTACGGTGCTTGCCTTGCATGCACAAGGCCCTGGATTCAATTCCCAGCAAAACACACACACACACACACACACACAAAATAAAAGTGAAATTGGAATCTTGCAGTTTCAAAGTACCTTCTGGTTATGATGTTTATCATAACCTGCTGTTTCCCCAATTTCCCTAATTTAAGATATTTTGTAGCTGTTAGTTTCTGTACCTATTCATTTTATGAGATAATGTCATTTGAGAGTAAAGCATGGATCCAGGATCAAAAATGGATCAAAAAATTTCCTTAGCTTCTGTTGGGAGTAGTGATAGAAGCTAAGGAAATTTTTTGATCTATTTCAGTCATTAGTTGGTTGAATTGTAAATTTGAATATTGTTTTTTCATTTTAAATTTTGCTTATTTCTTTTCTTCAAAATAGGCCTGGAATGTTCTGGCTCTGGATGGCAGTAACTGGCAACGAATTGACCTGTTCGATTTCCAGAGAGATATTGAGGTATAATTTTGTGGTGTGTGGCCCCAATTCTCTTGCAAGTAATTACAACATGGGACAAGATAGCCTCAGCCATATAAATCTTGTTTTCCCTCAAGAGAGGAACTATTGTTTTCAGTACATCTAAACTTCATGGTAGCCTCCAAAGTTCCCAAGAGTTTATTGAATTTTTGAAAATAAGTGGATTGGGGCTGGGGATGTGGCTCAAGCTGTAGCGCGCTCGCCTGGAATGCGTGCGGCCCGGGTTCAGTCCTTAGCACCACATGCCAACAAAGATGTTGTGTCCACAGAGAACTAAGAAATAAATAAATAAATATTAAAAATTCTCTCTCTCTTAAAAAAAAAAAAAAAAAAAAGAAAAGAAGTGGATTATTTCACTGAAGTAATACTAAATTATCTAGAACAATTTTAGTCCTGAAAAGGACTTAAAACTTTTTGGTTTTGCAGTAGAAATGTGAACTTACATTTTGTGTTTGCTTGTTTTAAGAAGTCATTTTTGTATTTGTTTATTGAAGAACAAGTACAAGTACAATTATAACTTATTGGGGGGTGGTATTTGCATTTCTTTGTTTTGTTTTGTTTTTTCATTTTACTTTTGTGGTACTTGGAATAAAACCCAGGGATGCTCTATTGCTAAGCTATATCTCCGGTATATTTTATTTTTTATTTTGCAGTCTGGCCTCAGATTTGTGATCCTCCTTCCCCAGCCTCCTAAGTAGCTGGGATTATAGGTCTAGGCCACCACACACCCAGCTAAATATATTTTTTTGGAGGGGGGTATGGGGATTGAACCCTGGGGTAATTCCTCACTGAGCTATGTGGGGACATAGCCCTTTTTATTGTTTATTTTGAGACAGGGTCTCACTAAGTTGCTTAAGTCCTTGTTAAGCTGCTAAGGCTGGCCTTGAACTTTTTTTTTTTAATGTTTATTTTTTAGGCGTAGATGAACACAACACAATGCCTTTATTTTTATGTGATGCTGAGGATCAACCTAGGTTCTGCCCGTGTGAGGCGAGCCCTCTACTGCTGAGCCACAGTGCCAGCCCAGGCCTTGAAATTTTGATCCTCTTGTCGAGCTGCTGGGATTTCAGGGGTGTACCACCATGCCTAACAGCAACCTATATAGATAGATATATACAACCTATATAGATAGATAGATAGATATATATACACTAACACTATCTATCTCTGTGTGTACATATATATTTTTTTATTATTATTTTTATTTTATTTTTATTTTTATTTTTTTTTGGTACTGAGGATGGAACCCAGGGGCACTTAACCACTGAGCCACATCCCCAGCCCTTTTTTATATTTTATTTAGAGATAGTCTCGTCGAGTTGCTTAGGGCCTCACTAAGTGCTAAGGCTGGCTTTGAACCTGTGATCCTCCTGCATCAGCCACCTAAGCTTCTAGATTACAGGCATGTACCACTTTGCCTGGCTATATTATTCTCCAGATGTGCATTTTGGCCCTTGGTGAATCAAAGGTAATAGTTTTTGTGGAGAATGTAAAATGAATTAAACCAGTGTCATTCATTAAATTGTTTTTGTTAGAAGCAGTTTTTTTTGTCTCCTCTTGCTCATCCCCTACCCACCTATTTCACCTTTTAGTATAACCTTTTATCTTTAAAATAGAAAACATTATGACTTGAGTTTGAATTACTTTAGCTGAATTTAAAGCAGTCCTTAGTTCTCTCTTCAGAAGAGTGAACATAAGAGATAACTCATAGTCAGTCTCTCTCTCTCTCTCTCTCTCTCTCTCTCTCTCTCTCTCTCTCTCTCCCCCCCCCTCTCTCTCTCCCTGTCCCCCTCTCTCACGGTCTCTTTTAAATTTCCAGCAGAAACAAATTCTTAAGGGCCCACTTGAAGAATTTTTAAAAACCTTTTATGAACCTTCCATTATCTTCACAAGATGTTTTTAAAATAATAACTACAAACATTATATTGAATTGTTTTTCACAATTCTTTGATCTTCATGGATGTTAAGATATTTAAAGCAGCACAGCTCACAAAATCATTTAGCAACCTTTTAAGTGTTCTTTGAGTCTTGCTATATGCAGAGTGCTATAGTATATATTTTGGAAAGTATACAAAGATAAATGTAGTTGTTGTCCTTTAGTGGCTATGATTTAACCCAAGGGGGCAGTATACATGCATATAGTGCCATAAAAGACTCAATATAGAATATTTTACAAATTGAACAAATAAATAAGAATATAAAGTTCAGGCATGTTTTAAGTAGATGGGCTAATTAGGAAAGCATTCCCAAAGGAAGTTGAAATTTTCCTACTTAATTAGGTCTTTGAAACAAGTAGAAACATTTTCTCTCTGTCCATAAATTGTCAAAAATGAGGATGTATTCTTTTCAAAAGCAATCAGATTGGTCATCTTTTTGTTTACCTGTTTCTTTTTATAGGGTCGAGTAGTGGAGAATATTTCAAAACGATGTGGGGGCTTTTTACGAAAGTTAAGTCTTCGTGGGTGTCTTGGAGTAGGAGACAATGCATTAAGGTAAAAACATAACTGTTAAAAAAAAAGTAACTGCTATTAATATCTTTGATTCAAGAACAGCACCATATCACTCAGAAAAAGCTGAGGTAGTTTTTAAATCCCTAGACGTTGAAAATACATCATGTATATATWATTTATAGCACAGAAATGTCAGGTACAATGGGATGAAGGCACACACACACACTTATAATCTCAGTGACTTGGGAGGCTGAGGAAGCAGAATTATAAGTTCAAAGCCAGCCTCAGCAACTTAGTGAAACTGTAACTAATTTAGACCCTTTCTCAAAATAAAAAGTACAAAATGGTTGGGGATGTGGCTCATGGTTAATTGTCCCTGGGTTCAATCCCTGGTAACAAAACCAAAACAAACAAACAAAAATAACAGGTAATAGGAAATATGATTTTAAAATGGTAGATTTCTCATCACAAATGATCCTTTTGGAATCTGTACTTAAAGATAGGATAAAATTATCTTTGGTGACTTGTGTTTAAGAATTGATGGTTCAGCCAGGGGTAGTGAGACATGCCTATCATCCCAGAGACTTGGGAGGCTGAGGCAGAAGGATCCTAAGTTTGAAGCCAGACCCAGCAACATAGCAAGAACCTCAGCAATTTCTTGAGAACCTGTCTCTAAAAAAAAAGAACTGGAAATTTAGCTAAGTGGTAAAGTGCCCCAGGGTTCAATCCCCAAGTACAAAAAAAAAAGAATTTATGGTTTGGGGAAAAAAAAAAAAACTTATTTACTTATACTTACCAACAACTTTGTATTATACTCAACTGTTCCTATTCACAATACTCTGACAGTAGATGTATAAGGTTTTTTCCCTCTGCCCTACAACCAATCCTTTGTTTTTCTAGACAACAACTGGATATTGTAATTTAGTTAAATACTAAACCTAAACTATCCAGAATTAGCTCAGATCCCACAAGCCAAGTGCCGCAGGCTTCTCGGCCSGGGCCGAACGAGCTGGCTGAGCCCCGTTCCTGCCGCTGCTATCGCTATCCCCGAGCACTGCCTGCCGCACCCCTGCTGAGCGCTTCCCTGCTGGGCTGTCAGTGCACGGGGGCTTGCAATCTTGCAACCCGGTTGGGCACAAAAACACAAGCCAGTCAAACTGAGACAAAGTTTTATTTWGWGAGAGGCCGTGTGCGTCCCCTAACAAGTGGGTCCACCACGTGTCTTCTACCTGAGGGGGGGGGGGGGCTCCACTTCCCCCGGAACACCCTCCTACCATCCTTTCCCAACCAATGGGAACTCTCCCATTACAAGAGTGACATGAGTAACCTGAGTCCTGAAACBGGCCCAGGTAAACAGCATGAGTCCAATTACCATATGAATGTGAATTGCTGGCTGGCAGTCACTAAACCCAAAGGTGCCTGTATCAATATTTTTGCTGTGGCTCCTAACAGCCAAGGACTTAGTGCAAAGGACTGCTTCTATTTCAGATACAAGTTGCAAGCCCCATGTTGCTGTGTACTTCTGATCAATGGGCTATAAATCAGGAATTACCATGACCCCCCTCCATGTTTGGTAATTTGCTAGAATGATCCATACAACTCAGAAAGGTGCTTTAGTTATTATTACCATTTTAAAGAATACAGATGAACAGCCAGTTGAAGAGGTTCATGGGATAAGATTTAGAAGGTTCCCAAGCACAGGAACTTCTGTCCCTGTAGTTCAAACATAAACCGGCACGTGATTTACCAACCCAGAAGTTCTCTAATCCCCATTAATTAGGGGTTTTTATGAGGCTGTGTTATTGTAGTTATAGTTGGAAGACCAAATATTATAGTAAAAGATGTTCCTGTCACTCATTACTCAGAAAATTACAAGGGTTTTAGGAGTTCTATGCCAGGAAGAAGGGATGAAGACCAAATATTACACAGGTATCACAGGTACCAGCAACCAGTATTACTAATAACAATATCTTATTTTTTTATGTTTGGCATTTTGCCCATTTCATTTGAAACTTGGCACTTTTTTTTTTCTTCCCATAAAGGACCTTTGCTCAGAACTGTAGGAACATTGAAGTATTAAATCTAAATGGGTGTACAAAGACTACAGACGCGTAAGTATTCTGTGTTTTAGAATGTTATGTCGTAGTTCATGTCTGGGCTATATTAATCTAACCCATGGTGTCCCACCATTTCATTCATGGAACACCTAAAAAACTTAAGTTGAGGGCTGGGGATGTGGCCCATGCATGGGGCCCCGGGTTCGATCCTCAGCACCACGTACAAAAACCAAAGATGTTGTGTCCGCCGAAAACTAAAAAATAAATGTTAAAATTCTCTCTCTCTCTCTCTCTCTCTCTCTCTCTCTCTCAATAAATAAATAAAAACTTAAGTTGAGAATATGATAACCTTGAAATAAATAAATTATTTTTATAATATTTATTTTTTAGGTGTAGATGGACACAACACAATGCCTTTATTTTTATGTGGTGTTGAGAATCGAGCCTGGGTCCCGCCCGTGCTAGGCGAGCTCTCTACCATTGAGCCACAGTCCCAGCCCAACAAATGTATTTTTTAGAGTTCTATTCTTTTGAAAAAAGTAATAAGTGAATTAGTTATAATATTCATTAGTATTAATATTATTAATGATAATAAATTATATAATCTATTATTTCTAATTTAATGCACCTATGTCAGTTTCACTGAAAATTTTGCATAATAGAAAACTTGGGACTTAATGGGTAAATGAACACCAACAAATGTATTTAGCAACTTTCTTGGTTGTAAAATTCTGTCTTTGATATTTAAAGTAAGACTTAAAAATTATTGGTGGGCTGGGGAGTCCATCTACAACTATAAAATTTTAAAAAAATAGGAGAAATAGGAGAAACAGTTTACTAACTTCTTACCCCACTATTCCTTTGTATGATAAGTTATAACCATAATATATATGTACAAGGCTATTCATTTTTACTGTTTGTAATAATGAATACTGCTAATTTTTTTTTTTTTAAGAACTGGGATGTTTTACCACTGAGCTAGAACCCCACTACTGCTAATTTTTATAACAGCAAAAGACAGGAAACTGCCCGGCACAGTGACTCACACCTGTAATCCCAGCAGCTCAGGAGGCTGAGGCAGGAGGATTGAGAGTTCAAAGCCAGCCTCAGCAAAAGCAAGACTCTGAGCAACTCAGCGAGACCTTGTCTCTAAATAAAATACAAAATAGGGCTGAGGATGCGGCTCAGTAGTTGAGTGCCCCTTAGTTCAATCCCTGATACCCCTTCCTTCCCCTAAAAAAGGAAACCATCCTGTGTCTATCAGAAGAGGATTAGTTAAATAAAAGTGATGAAGAAAATCTCTAGTTCTCTGGTGTGGTTCCAAGACCTACTGTTAAATGAAAGTGAACAGCAGAGGACTTTGTATAAAATGATACCTTTTAAAAGGGCAAGAGAACTTGGTACAAAATATATCAATATTCATATTTTCAAAAAGAAAAATGGAAATTTCAACCAAAAACTAATAAAATGGAACAAGGTACAGTGATGTGTGCTTGTCATCCCAGCTGTTGGGGAGGCCATGGCATGAATATCACAAGTTAAAGGCTAGATTCAACAATTTAGTGAGACCCTAAGCAACTTAGTGGTATCCCATCTCAAAATAAAAAAGACAAGGGCTGGGGATATAGCTCAGTTGGTAGAATGTACTTCGCATGCATAGGACACCTGGGTTTAATCTCCAGACTAGGAAAATAAATAAATAAATAAATTATTACCCAAAAAATTATAATAGGATATCATGAATAATAATCAGGCAATACAGATAAAATGAACAAAATTCCTGGAAGGCATCATTTGCCAAAACTGGCTCAAGAAAAAAAATGCATATTCTGAATAGGCCTATAATATATACATTCAGTGAGTAATTTAAAACTGTCCTAACAAACAAGCACGCAGACCTAAATGATTCTACTAGTGAATTTCATCAACTGGTGTGTGTGTGTGTGTGTGATACTAGAGTTTGAACCTGGGGGTACTCTATCACTGAGCAACATCTTCACATCTCAGGCCCTTTTTATTTTTTATTTTGAGGTAGAGTCCCTTTAAGTTGGTCAGGCTGGCTTAGAAATTGCCATCCTTCTACCTTAGCCTCCTGAGTTGCTGAGATTACAGTGTCCAGCTTTCCCCTCTTTTTAAAATTAGTTTATTGAGGATTGGCTTTTCTTTAAACAGCTGATCAGCCATGCACATTGGTGCACGGCTGTATTCCAAYTACTTAGGAGACTGAAGTCAGGAGGATCGAAAGTTCAAGGCTAGCCTCAGCAACTTAACAAGGCACTAAGAAACTTAGCAAAACCCTGTCTCAGCACTCAGGAGGTTGAGGCAGGAGGATCACAAGTTTGAATACAGCTTCAGCAATTTAGTGAGACTAAGCAACTAAGTGAGACTTGGTCTCAAAATAAAAAAAGTAGAAAGGGCTTAGGGATGATGTAGCTCAGTCGTAAAGCACTCCTGGTTCAACACCCCCTCCCCCCAAAAAAATGATTTTTAAAAATGAAATTTCTCCATTTTTTTAAGTTGTTGACGGACCTTGATTTTATTTATTTATTTATTTATTTATTTATATATATGTGGTGCTGAGGGTCAAACCCAGTGCCTCACACACACTGAGCCACAACCCCAGCCCTCACAAAAAAAAGGATTTTAGATCATAACAAAGTGGACTTTATCCCAGAAATAGGACCAAATAAGTAAATATTTTAGTCTTCCTGACCCGTATAGTATGTTATAACTACGTCAGATACAGTCATAAAATCAGCTATAGACAGACAGTACATAAATAAGCACAGCTATGTGTTCAAAAAAAAAAAAAAAAAACACTGTTTCTGGGTTTTTTTTCTTTTTTTTTTTTAAAGAGAGAGGGAGAGAGAGAGAGAATTTTTAATATTTATTTTTTAGTTCTCGGYGGACACAACATCTTTGTTGGTATGTGGTGCTGAGGATCGAACCCGGGCCGCACGCATGCCTGGCGAGCGCGCTACCGCTTGAGCCACATCCCCAGCCCGGGTTTTTTTTCTTTATCTTTTTTTTTTGAACTGAGTATTTAACCCAGGGTTTTGTGAATGGGAGGCAAACACTTTGCCACTGAGCTACATTCCAGCCCTATTGACTTTTTTTCAACCCCTTAAAACTTTAAGAACCATTCGTGGTTTGTGAGTCATATTAAAATAGGTTTCAGGAATGATTTGGCCATAGTTGAGCTATAGTTTTATCACCTCTGGAATAAAAAAGAGACAAAACAACATAATCATCTTAGTGTTTGATGGCCTCCAAATAATCCACACTTCCTGATATTTAAACCATTGTCTAATCATTTCCCCTTGAGAGTTAACTCACCATAGTGACTCATTTTTAACAATAGAATACAGCAAGAGAGATTGGATGGTACTTAGGATACAAAAAGATTACTATCCTACTCTGCTTTCTCTTGGGGTTCTGGCTCTCAGGGAAGCAAGCTGCCCTCTTATGGGACCTCTGTGGAGAGGCCTACGTGACTAGAAACTGATGTTTCCAGGTAATAGTTAGCAAGGACCTGAAATCTACCAAAAATCACGAATAAGACTCGATTGGATCTCCTGAGATCTGCTAAAAAAAAAAAAAAAAAAAAAATGAGCTTAGAAAGGGATCTAAACCCTGTTAACCTTTGAGATGATCACATCCAATGTCTACACCTTGATTGTGGTCTTGTCAGAAACCCTAAATCAAATGAACCCTGCTTAGCTACCTTTAGTACTGACCACAAAAACTGAAATAACACACTCTCAAGAATCTTAAGTTGAGTTGTTATAGGGTAGTTGACTACACAAAATAGATAACTAATTTATTATTAGGTATAGAAAGCATATTACAAAATCTAATGTCCATTCATGGTAAAAACAATTCCAAAGAAATTCCCTCAACCCAATTAAAAGCATTTATGAAAAACCCACTGCTGGGGCTTGGGATATAGCTCAGTTGGTACAGAGTGCTTGCCTCACATGCACAAGGCCCTGGGGTAAATCCCTTGCATCCCCCCCACACACACAMAAAAAAACCACTTCTAAAAATGACTGAATTCTTTCTTACTAAGGTCAATTACTACACTTTTTTTTTGGTGCTGGGGATTGAACTGCATACATCCCCAGCCCAACCACTCTTTGTATTTCACAATGTATTGGAGGATCTAGCCAATACAGTAAGTTTTTTAAATGCATATTGGTAGGAAACAATAGAATAAAATATATACAAATAAACATAATTTATAATATTGTATATAAAAAAACATGAGGTCTGGGGTATAGCTCAGTGGCAAAGCATGCATGCATGAGGCACTGGATTCGATTCTCAGCACCACATAGCAGCTAACAACAAAAAAAAAATAAAGGCATTCTGTCCATCTACAACTACAAAAAAWTTTTTGTTTAAATCATGAGGAAACTACCAAAAGATGCTTTAATTCATAAATAAGATAACAAGCTCATTAGATATAAGACAATATACCCCCAAAAAAGTCTCTGTACATTAGCATCAAGCAATCCAAACATGAAATTAAGAATTCCTGGGCTGGGGTTGTGGCTCAGTGGTAGAGCTCACCTAGCATATGTGAGGCCCTGGGTTCAATCCTCAGCACCACATAAAAACAAATAAACAAAATAAAGGTATTGTGTACAACTAAATAAATATTTTTTTAAAGAGGAATTCCATTGCCAGGTGTGGTGGCATATGCCTGTAATCCCAGTGACTTGGGGGACTGAAGTAGTAGGATCACAAGTTTGATACCAGCAATTGAGACCCTGTCTCAAAATGAAAAAAAGGATGGGTATGTAGGTCAGTGGTAGAGCGCCCCTGGCTTGGATCCTAGTACCAAATAAAGAGAAAGGAAGAATAAAAAAGTATTAAAACATTTACAGATAAAATAATATATCCAGGATTTACTTTAAAATACTGGAGGGAAAAAAATACAGGAGGGGAAATTGGAGCTGGGGCTGTAGCACAGTGGTAGAGTGCCTGTCTCGTCCCTCTGAGGCACCGGGTTCAATCCTCAGCACCACATAAAAATGGATAAAGATAGTGTGTGCATCTAAAAAGAAATRTTTTTTTAAAAAGGAGGGAGAATAGATAGTCTGTTAAAAAACAGAAGCAAMGATTTGGTCCTCATATTTTACCATATATAGCAAAAACTTATTAGCATTCCTGGTGTTCCTGGATTTGAAGAGTACACATAGATCACTTAGAGTTCACATAAGTAGTTTGCTGTTATTAACTATTAATATTATTATTAATAATAGCTGTTAATAGCTATTAATGTTTCCAAATGGAAATGAAGCACCATCTTCCTCTGATACAAATTCTCATATATAGTATTGCCCTTCTTTGTGAATGGTATCTGCCTCTTCCGTGGAAAGCTCCCAAAATTTATAGCTGCTTTTTGGAAGGTAAGCAAATTTTACAGTTCTGATGTATTTTGTATATCATATACACACGTGCATGTGTATACACACAAACATTTACTGAGAAACGTGTATGATATAGTAAAGATGTGTTCTTATTTATTCATTATTTTCTCCTCTCTCCATTTTCAGTACATGTACTAGCCTTAGCAAGTTCTGTTCCAAACTCAGGCATCTTGACTTGGCTTCCTGTACATCAATAACAAACATGTCACTCAAAGCTCTGAGGTAAATTTCTTATAAATAAGCATGTCCATTAATAATAATTTCTTAAAAATAACTGAAATGAATTTTGAATTAAAGGTAACTATGTTTTATTCATATATACTATCGTTCTAAATAGGCCTTTTATTTTACCACTTTTCCCAAATTATAATTACAGGAGCTATTCAAGTGAAATGACTAGGGGTAACTAGGATTTCTAAACAGAGGAGCACAGTATAGATTATACATGAATTATTAGATTTTTATAAAGACTTACTTTCAAAAAAAGAAAAGAAAATGTCCTGTTATTTTAACTTAATGATTAAAATATGGTTCTAGAGATAGGATTATTTACCAGGTACTTTGTTTGAACACAGTCCTTCTGAGCTTTTCCTCATTATCTCATAGCATTGTTATTAGGATTCAACAAGATTATATTAGGCAGAACTATAAAAAGTTATGCTGATGATAGTCAACAGTTTCTATGTTATAAAAATAACTTCAAGGCAAGCATGGTGGTGTACACCTATAGTCACAGCTACTTAGGAGGCTGAGGCAGGAACATAGCAAGTTCAAAGTCAGACTGGGCAACTTTGTAAGACCCTGTCTTCAAAATAAGATGAGCTAGTCCCAGGTGCTATAGCACATACATATAATCCCAGCCACTTAGTAAGCTAAGGCAGGAGGATTGCAAGATGGAGGACAAGCTTAGCAACTTAGTGAGACCCTGTCTCAAAATAGAAAAATTAAGGACTAGGGGTATAGCTCACAGGTAGAGTGTCCCTAAGTTCAATTTCTAGTACTGAAAAAATGTGACTCCTTTTAGACTTTCTTTGTGAATATTGAGCAACAAACATATTGAATACTATTTACCAGGTAGGGTAATGAATGTGACAATAGTTATAAAATGTTTTCATGTAAATGATCTCGTTTACTTGAAAGCCTTATGAAGTATATAGAATAGACATTTACACTTTTAAGGGAAAAAAAACACAGTTGTCAAATGCCAGGGACTGTTAATGCATCCATGAGAGGAAACTAAATAAGATATTGTTATTGCTCAGTCAAATCGGAGTAAAGACTGAGCACTAAACATGTATCATATTACTGTGTAGTAAGTTGATGATAGGAGTGAGTACCTCAGTTTTGGAAGAACATAGAAGGAGCTGTGGCTTATCTTGGACCAAGAGGTTTAGGTAGATAGGCTTCCTAAAATGACTTGTATGGAGTCAAATTATTAATGTTGAAAATGAACTCAAACCTGAATCTCCTGTCTTTATTTTCTGGATCTTTTTGGTAGGCAAGATAATGGGCTAGAGGTGGTAGAACTCGGTGGTAGAACATTCTCTTATGTAGCTTGTGAAGCCCTGGGTTCAATCCCTAGCATAGGGGGAGTGAGGGGTCCGGAAGAAGCTTTCTGAAGAATACTTTCAATTTTTTCATGCTCCAAATATGAAACTAAACTGATACAAGTGGAAGAGATTTAGAGGAAACTAATATTTTAATCACAGAAATTCAACACAGTAAACCCTAACTTTAGTCTACAGAAACGATATTCTAGGAATGTCCCAAATAAGGAAATAGAGAGAGCCTCTGTAATTATTTTTAACTAAAAGTTTAAAAGTTCTCATTAATACTTGATGGAGAATATCGGTTTGAATCTGAACTTTTAACTACTCTATAAATTTGAACAAGTTAATTTCCATATCCTATCTATAGTTGAAAAACTATACTGTGCTTTCTGGTTGTTTAAGCTGGATTTGAGATGGCCCTGTTGGTGGTAAAGTCCCACATGAACATTGCAAAAATGAGACCAGTATCTTTGAAATTGGATGTAGTGATATGCTTGTCTCATTTTGTTTTATCCTAAGTGAGGGGTGTCCACTGTTGGAGCAGTTGAACATTTCCTGGTGTGATCAAGTAACCAAGGATGGCATTCAAGCACTAGTAAGAGGCTGTGGGGGTCTCAAGGCCTTATTCTTAAAAGGCTGCACACAGGTAATACTCCATGTAATGCTTATGAAAATCAGAGGAACCATGAGCTTTTTGTAGTCATCACCAAGATGTTTGTCTGGAGGGAAATGTGAGTTGTGTGTATTTTTTTGTTATATATATATATATATTTAGTTGTCGATGGACCTTTATTTTATTTACTTATTTTTATGTGGTGCTAAGAATTGAACCCAGTGCCTCACACATGCCAGGCAAGCGCTCTAACACTGAACCACAACCCCCGCCCCAGTTGTGTGTATTTTTGACCCAAAGATATTTGCTTATCAAGGATAAAGTGTTTTCCTTAGAATCAAAGAATGAGAGGATTTAACATCTGACCAAAGGTAAATTTCAAAAAGGACAGAGTGGGGCGGCAAAGTAACACTGAAGGAAGGTATGCCATAGGCAAGAAGGGTTTCATGCAGCTTAACCTATGCCAAAAAGAAAGTTTCTTTACTGCCGATAATTCAAACTGGATAGGCAAATAAGACAGTCCTGGAAATTTTCTCTTGTTTAATCATCAGGAGTTGTTTTAAAATATGCCAAGTTTGCAGTAACCTGTGTTTTATAGTATTGACACTTATCCTCCCAGTCACATCACAAATCCAACATATTTTGTCATTAAAGATTTTGTAGTCTTGGGGCTGGGAATGTAGTTCAGTGGCAGCTTGCTTGCCTCACAGGCATAAGGCTCTGGGTTCAATCCCCAGTACCACCAAAAGGAAAAAAAAAAAAAAGTACAGCCTTGCTAGGCACAGTGGCACTCAGCTTTTAATTCCAGCTTCTGGGGAGGCTGAAAGTTTGAGGCCAGACCCTGTCTCAAAAGAAAAATAAAAAAGGCAGGTGATAAGGTGTTGTAACTCAGTGGGTACAGTGCCCCAGGGTTCTTTGCCCAATACCACCCCCCAAAAAAAAAAAAAAAAAAACTTTTTAAAAACAATCTGATTTTTTCACAGTGAGGAAAGGAATTGACCAAATAGCACCTAATGATCAAGAGTGAATTTAAGCCAGGTTTGGTGGCACATGCCTATAATCCCAGCTGCTTGGGAGGCTGAGGCAGGAAAATAGAGTTTGAGACCTTATTTCAAAAGGGAAAGAAAAGAAAAGTGGATTTAAATATGATTGATAAAGTAGGGCTAGTCTCTATCTTATTTTATTAATAGTATGAAATCCATACTTTGGATTCCATTAAAAATTCCCTCATTCTCTTACTATGATAGGAGGAATTTTGTTGTTTGAAATTGAGCTTTGGATGTATGACTGCATTAAAACAACAGCTTGAGCTTCTAGTTATTTATGGAATCCTAAAAAATATTGATTGGAATGCATCATTATGATCAGTTACTTACCATCTGTTCTCAGCACTGTAAGCATGCCACTGATCTTCCAGCAACAGATAAACACGATGGATTCCTTTCTTGGCTCTCTGTCCCCAAAATTTGTTTTAAAATATCTTCATAGGTGGTATTGAAGTGTGAATCATTTTAGCTTAATAATCCCTCTGCAAAGTACTATGAAGTACATTTAACTTATCAGAAGTAAAATCCATAAATATTAGGCAATGTTATGTCATCTTTTCCTTGGTTTGATGATAATAACATGAATTTGATGTGGTAGGAACTGATTTTCTAAAATACTGATAACCCTGCTAATAGTAGGAATTACTTTGTTATGTGAACATAATTTTTTATTTCTGGTTCATTGTTCTTTTGGAATTTGGGTGGCTATACAGAGAATGTATTGATGAATGTATACATTCTGAAGTCTTCCTCCTTTGAAAAATTGTTAATAATAATTTTTTTCTTATTTTTTAATCTTTTTAGCTGGAAGATGAAGCTCTCAAGTACATAGGTGCACACTGCCCTGAACTGGTGACTTTAAACTTACAGACTTGCTTAGTAAGCATCCATTCCTACAATGCTTCTGTGTTAATAATTCCTTTCAGTACTGTTGTTAAGAATTTCATCAAGGGGCTGGGGATGTGGCTCAAGCGGTAGCGCGCTCACCTAGCATGCGTGCAGCCTGGGTTYGATCCTCAGCACCACATACAAAACAAAGATGTTGTGTCCGCCGATAACTAAATATAAAAATAAATAAATATTTAAAAAAAGAAAAGAGGGGCTGGGGATGTGGCTCAGTGGTAGCGCCCTCGCCTGGCATGCGTGCAGCCTGGGTTCGATCCTCAGCACCACATACAAATAAAGAGGTTGTGTCTGCCGAAGACTAGTGACTTTTCCATTACAACCTAAGTGATACAGTAAACACAAAGATGACTCTTATCTATTTAAGAAAAACTATGTATTCTTGTAAAAATATGTGTGTTTTTATTTTATTTATATTTTTTAGTTGTAAGTGGACACAATACCTTTATTTTATTTACTTATTTTTATGTGGTGCTGATAATTGAACCCAGTGTCTCACACATGCTAGGCAAGTGCTCTATCACTGAGCTACAATTGCAGCCCCAAAATTATTTAAAATTGCAGTAGCACTTTATAACCAATTATTATGTATTAATGGGTTACAATTATGAGAAAACACTGACCTAAAACTGACAAGAAAGCTGGATGCAGTGGCACAGACCTGTAATCCCAGCTACTCAGGAGGCTGAAGCAAGAGTATTGCAAGTTTGAGTCAGCCTGGACAATATAGTGAGACCCTGTCTTAAAATAAAAAGGGCTGGAGATGTACCTAAGTGATAAGTGCCCCCAGATTCAATATCTAGTATATAAAATAAAATAAAAAATAAAAGTTGGCAATCAAAATGTACCCTTTAAATAATTTTCAGGTAATGTCTATATTTAGCACTTCACCTTGTTCAGACTATCAGCCTTTTTGTGTCTACCCCAAAATGCCTAAATTTTACTCAAATAATTGCTGAAACTATTCAGGAACCTAGAATATTGACAATAATATCTCTTGYCTAAAAAATTACACATGTATGTTACCTTGGAATAGAAGCCCCTCATAGCAAAGAAAGAAGTTGATAAGGGCTTTCCTAGTATGTGCTTCTGCTTGTTATATCCTCTCTTCCACCTGGAACTGGAAAGCATAGTGGTTGTTTTATTTATGTGATGTGTAAAAGACTACTTTTTATGCAGTTTAAGTTACCCACTCTTCCATCTTTGAGGAATGGTACTGATAATGATCTAGTTAGCTCCTGAAAATCAAAAGAATGATACCCCTGCCTTGTTTTGTTTTGAGTGGGGTCTTACTATGTTGTCCAAGCCAGTCTTGAACTCCTGAGCCCAAATGATCTTCCCACTTCATCCTCCCAAATGCTCAGACTAGAGGCATGCACAACCACACCAGCTTTCCTTCTTTTAATTCTGACCATCTTCCTGGAATGTTGACTTGGGAAGCTGAGGCAGCAGAGTAGCAAGTTTGAAGCCAACTTCAGAAGCTTAATTTTGACCATTTATAGTGTGTGTGGGTCATTCTGATAATCATAGTTGCTGACCTCCAAAATTTGCCTAAGTTCATTTATAAAGCTAAAATGTTTACCCTGAAAGACTATGCACAACAGTTATAAACATGGTACTATCATTTTAGAGTTCTAGAAGAAAACTGTCTGTTGTGACCAAAACATGACTAAAGTACAATCTTTGATTTTTTTAACCTTTCTAGGCATATTTGGAAACAAAAGTTGGGCCAAGCACAGTGGCTGGGGAGTCTCAGGCAGGAGGATCACAAGTTTAAAGCCAGGCTCAAAAACTTAGGCCCTTAAAAAGTTCAGCGAGACCCCATCACAAAATAAAGAACAAAAAATCAGGAAAAAAAAAAAAGAGGGTGGAGATACAGCTTAGTGGTTAAACACCCCTTGGTTCAATACCTAGTAATAGTAGTAGTAATAATAATAGTTGGATACATTTTACTATTTATTACTGGTGATTGAAACCAGGGGCGCTTAATCATTATTTTTTTTATTATTATTATTATTGGTACCAGGGATTGAACTCAGCCACTGAGCCACATCCCCAGCCCTATTTTGTATTTTATTAGAGATAGGGTCTCACTGAGTTGCATAGTGCCTCGCCATTGCTGAGGCTGGTTTTGAACGATCCTCCTGTCTCAGCCTCCCAAGTCGCTGGGATTACAGGCATGCGCAACTGCACCCAGCTCGTAACCACTATTTTTAAACAGCATCTCACTAAAATGCTTAGGGCTTCRTTAAATTACTAGCTTCGAATTTGTGATCCTCCTGCCTCAGCTTCCCAAGTCACTGAGATTATGGTGCCACCACACCTGGCAAATCTTACCATTTTTTTTAAGTGTCTGGTAATTTTTTTTTTAATTTTTTTTATTTTTGAGGTTGTAGATGGATAGCATACATTTATTTTATTTGTTCTTTTTTTTAGATGTTAATGGACCTTTATTTTATTCATTTATTTATGTGTGGTGCTGAGAATCAAACCCAGTGCCTCACACATACTAAGCAGGTGCTCTACCACTGAGCCACAACCCCAGCCTTATTTGTTCATTTTTATGTGGTGCAGAGGATTGAACCCAGTGCCTCACACGTGAGTGCTAGGCAAGCAGTCTGCTGCTGAGCTACAGCTCCAGCCCCACAAATTTTACTATTTTTAAATTTTTAATTAAGCCAAGCGCAGTGGCACAAGCCTGTAATCTCAGCAGCTTGGGAGGCTGAGGCAGTTGGATGGCAAGGTCAAAGCTATCCTCAGCAACAGCAAGGCACTAGGCAACTCAGTGAGACCCTGTCTCTAAATAAAATACAAAATAGGGCTGGGGATGTGGCTCAGTGGTTGAGTGCCCCTGAGTTCAATCCCCAGTATCAAAAAAAAWTTTTTTTTAATTTAATTGAAGTACAGGCAATGTGATTTTCCTCAGTACTGTCCTATAGGCTTTTTTCTTTTAAGAGATGGCCTCACTTTGGCTCAATCAATGCTCCTACCTCAATCAGACTCTTGTTTGGCTGAGTCTATGGGCATATACCATTGCACCCAGTTAGACTATAAAACATAAGAAGGAAGAAGCAGCACAATCCTACAATACTTTCTCTTTTTTTTTTTTTTTTGTAAAGAGAGAGAATTTTTTAATATCCATCTCTCTAGTTTTCGGTGGACACAATATCCTTGCTTGTATGTGGTGCTGAGGATCGAACCCAGGCCACACACATGCCAGGCGAGCGTGCTACCGCTTGAGCCACATCCCCAGCCCTATCCCCAACCTTTTTTTGAGACAGGATCTCATTAAGTTGCTTAGGACATGCAAACTTGCCCAATCTGGCCTTAAATTTTCAATCCTCCTGCTCCAGTCTCCCCAGTTGCTTGAATTTTTATTTTTTTATTTTGAGACAGTAACTCACAAAATTGCCTAAGCTGGCCTTGAACTTGGAATCCTCTTGCCTCTAGCTTCTGAGTCTCTGAAATTACAGGCATGTGCCACCAGGCCTAGCAACATCCAGATTTTTTTTTAATCTGTATTTTTTTTTTGTTTGCATGATATTAAGAAGTTGCTTATTTAAACAATGGCTATTAAAAGTTGGGTTTTTATTTTTATTACTTGTTGCTATTGTCCTTGCTACTTAACAACATTGCTTGATTAAATAGTGATGGCAGTRGAGCTTTACTTTTAGGCCTATACAGTTAGTGAATCTAGCCAGACAAATTGAAGTGCTGATAAACTCTATTATGTTAGATGTTTATATGTAACTTTTTAATTATGATATCCTTAAATGTGTATTTTTTTTCATTTAAAGTAATTTGAGATAAAATTATTTTTAAATAATGTAAGATTATATCTGAGTTAAACACAACTATTTGTCTCCATTAATTAGGATGTTCTTTATATTTTAATATTCAAACAGCAAAATGGATGTTATTTTGAGATAGCAACTATCATCCACAGGTGTTGTTTTTGCTTATTTGTTTTGGGTCCTCGGGATTGAACCAAGGGGCATTTTTCAACTGAGCTATATCCCCAGCATTTTGGGGGTTTTATTTTTATTTTTCCAGGCATTTCATTATTATCAACATTATTATTTCATTATTATTTTTTATTTTTTATCTTTTTGGTACTGGGGATTGAACTCAGGGGCACTCAACCACTGAGCCATATCCCCAGCCCTATTTTTGTATTTTATTTAAAGACAGGGTTCACTGAGTGTTTAGTGCCTCACTTTTGCTGAGGCTGGCTTTGAACTTACAATCCTCCTGTCTCAGTCTCCCGACCCATCGTGCCCAGCTTGTTTTTCATTTTGAGACAGGATCTCCCTAAGTTACTTGGGTCCTCACTAAGTTACTGAAACAGACCTCAAACTTACAATCTCCTACCTTAGCCGCCTCCTGTGTCATTGATATTACAAGCCTGTGCCACTATACCCAGCCACAGTTTTATTTTTTCCTCCAACCAGTTTCAGTTTGAACTTGTAAAAATATATATTTATACTATTAAAATACTGCAGTTCTTGGGGCTGGGGATGTGGCTCAAGCGGTAGCGCGCTCGCCTGGCATGCGTGCGGCCCGGGTTCGATCCTCAGCACCACATACAAATAAAGATGTTGTGTCCGCCGAGAACTAAAAAAATAAATATTGAAAAAAAAATTCTCTCTCTTTCTCTCCCTCTCCCCCCCTCTCACTCTCTCTTAAAAAAAATAATAAAATAAAATACTGCAGTTCTTGTCGGTTTTCTAGATTTTAAAATTATTTAATTGAATTTACCCCATGCTTATTTCCATTCTTATTAAGTTAAAAGAATCCCATTATAGCTTCTTGCCTTTATACCAAAAGCAAACCCAGATTCTCTTGCAACTAAATCAAAAGGAACTAGAAAGAAGAAACAAAGTGTGTTCATTTTCTTTTAGGTTTACTATCTGATTAATATCAAACCTGCCTAGATTTCTTTTGGGTGTTGTTTTCACAGAGATGTTATTTTTTCCTTATTTTTCGTCTGCTAAATTACTAATACTTGTGGGGGTGTTTTTTTTCCCCTTGTTTTTTTAGCAAATCACAGATGAAGGTCTCATTACTATTTGCAGAGGGTGCCATAAGTTACAGTCCCTCTGTGCCTCTGGCTGCTCCAACATCACAGATGCCATCCTGAATGCTCTAGGTCAGAACTGCCCTCGGCTTAGGTAAACATTTCTTCTCTAGTGCAAAAAAATCAAGGAAAAAGAACAAAAGTCTACTTCACTCATTTATTCTTTGGAACTTTGAAATTTTAAGATAGACACTACAAGTCATTGTCCTTTTTGATGTCCACCTACTTGCTTTGTACTTCATTATGTGTAATTGGCATGAACCAAGAAACAGTGGTTCCAAAATTCTACTTTCTACTCATACTAGAAAAGAAAAAAAGCATTTATTTCATTACTAAAGAATAAAATAAGGGGGCTGGGATTGTGGCTCAGTGGTAGCGCACTCACCTAGCACATGAGAGGCCCTGGGTTCAATCCTCAGCACCACATAAAAATAAATAAGTAAGTAAGTAAATGAAATAAGGTGCTGGGTTGTGGCTCAGTGGTAGAGCGCTTGCCTATCATGTGTAAGACACTGGGTTCAATTCTCAGGACCACATGTAAATAAAGATTCATCAACATCTAAAAAAATGTTTTTAATGAAATAAAGATATTTTCTTTAATTAATGCTTTATATAATTCTTTTCTCAAAGATAATTTTAAAGGCTCACTCTCAGGTCGTTTATATTTTGGTTATGATGCCAGGTACATAGCAGACCGTATTCAAAAAGAAGAAACAGCTTTACAAGAGGAACTTTTTGTGTTGACAGTCTTTTATTTTTCTGTGGCTCCTTCTCTTTGCTCATATATGGGATTGGCTGGTTATCTATTAAGAATTCTGTATTAGTATGTAAGATAGTATAAAATCCATATTGATTTTGTAAAGAGCACATGAGAATCTTGTAATGAATAGAGATGATCCCCATATACCTTTTTGGTTTTGGTTTTGGTTTAAATATTACCTATATAATACTTAGAAGTTAAGCATTGTTTTAGGTACTTTACAAATGTTAATTCATTTAATCTTCATAACATCACATAATCAGTATTGTTATCATCAAATTGTAAATGAGTAAACCAAGCACCAAAAAGTAAACTGCTCAGGGTGTCACAGCCAGTAAGTGCAGGAGCAAGGATTCAAAGCCAGGCAGTCTGGCTCCAGAGCCCATGAAATTACTTTTCTTACACATAATAATCATTGTAAAGCAATGAAATTTTTAAAAAACTTTTTTAACTGGTGAACATTTTGCCTTCAGTATCAAAATTCCTTCATAGATGATAGATTTGTTTTGGTCAAAATCAATAATATCAGAAGTCTAAAACAGAGTACTTCTTAGGAGATAGGGAAGTAACCAGACCTCTCTCAAATATTAAACACTATCCTTTCCTGTATTAAAGCAAGGGGTATTCAGCTCCATCCTCCCTCTAATGATATAACCTCATTATATCATTAGCCTGGAAAGGCTGTCAAATGTGACCATCACAAAATGTGTTTCAGTTAGTTACTCTCTCATTGGATACAGCATTCATTTCTAATTGCTTTTCAGTTGATGATTTCTTATACTAACTATGATAGTAAATAGGTGTTACTAGGTACCATTGTACAGTACAAATGTCACCAAACTTTTCACAGAAAAGAGCTACTTTTGATTCCCAAGCCTTTAGTTGCTGTTTAGGTTGGTGTGTAACAGTTGCTAAATAGGAGAGTAGTTGCTAGCCCAGCTTCCCTTTTCACTGGGTTCCCCTGGGAGCCTATAGGAGGAAGCAGAAAGCTTTCTAAGTATGGATTTTCATATTTGGGACAGACCTGTAATTAAACAGTCCCTTCATTACATTTTTTAAAAGGTATTGAAATGTGAGTGAACCCACATGTAAAACGGAAAGAAAATCTTACTTCAGTAACAGATTAAATAATATAGAATATTTATCGCCATTTCCTTTGTTTTCTAGGAGCAGGCTGCCCTCTGGGGGTAAGCAGTATGCCATCAAGAAGGCTTTTAATGCATTGTGGCATAACTACAAGCTTCAATTTTATTCCTCTGTGTTCTTTGATTGCATCACCCTGAAATGTGGTATTTATAGGACCACTTTATGATGACTCCACAACAATAAATAGCAAGATCTGTATATAGACTTGCTTAGCTATTAATGTCTCTCTATATTATGAAATCCTTAGAGAATAGTAAATAATTTTCTTAAATTTTGTTTTAATAAAACCAATTTTTAGGGACCCATAGCTTGACTTCCACTTTTTTGGTGTTGTTGTTTTTTTTTTTAACAGAATATTAGAAGTGGCAAGATGTTCTCAATTAACAGATGTGGGCTTTACCACTCTAGCCAGAGTAAGTGTTTTCTCCAGGTTTCATAGGTTTATTTTCTTATGTTTTATTGGGTATTTTTATTTCAGAAGAACAAGTAGCAAGGGAAATGTAGCATGGCAGAATTAGGTGTGTGAGAAGGGGGCCTTTTTCTGTAGCTAGTCTTCCTGAGCATTCTTATGCTACAGCTACAGACCTGTTGATATCAGTAAGAAAACAAACTGTTCTGGAAATTCAGCCATGCATTGGGGAGCATGACACTCCTCCATGAAACTAAAGTTCTCCACAGTTTCATAAGATGATAAATTAAGCAGCTGAAAGAAACTTGTTATTTGATATGTGACTAGTAGGTGACAGCAGTGTTGAAAGCCTGGTTTTTAAATGGAGAGGCTTTTATTATTTTCTGTATTCTGAAGATTAGACTTGGAATGGTTTATAAATCACTATATAATAATATCATTTAAAATTATACTGACTTTGACCAATGTTATAGAACAAGGGGGAGGTAATTTGCTTTCAGGTAGATCAATGGAGTTGGGTAAAAGCCAGGACACTTAACTAAAGTTAAGCTTGCTTCCTCTCTTCCCAAGAAACAGTTTTTATTGAATTATTTATGATTGAAAATATCTCTATATTGGCCCAGTGTTACTGTTTGGCAAATTTATTCCCTTGGACGTTTAAGATAATAAATATTTAAATGTGAGATAATTGAGATATTTCACTATGATCAAAGCATAAAATGTGTAATTAATGGAATAAAATAGAAAGTGACACTAGAATGATACCAAATCTGAAAAACTAAGATTTCATCAGTATATTTAACTTTCAGTTTTCTGGCCTTAAAGTTTTCCCTTGTTTAAATGGTTGTATTGTATTGTTTGGTTTTATACTTTGTAGAATTGCCATGAGCTTGAAAAGATGGACCTGGAAGAATGTGTTCAGGTAAGATTGTGGATTTATATTCATAAATACAGTGTGATAGAAACTAATTACATAATACATGCACATCAGAATGTCCATTCCCTACCCTAGTGTAGGACACTGAAATACCTGGCAGCCCTACTGATTCTTCCTTTATTGATGTGTCTTCTAGGCACACTAGGCAGAAGTGCTTATGGCATAGGTGTTAAAGAACTATGAAAATACATTCCATCAATCATGTCACCATTAGAAAGGACACCTAAGTGTTCAGGCCATAAAGCTGTTAAGGTATTTTCTTTTGCCAAGTKTGGTGGTGCACTATGGTAGTTCCAGCTACTCAAGGGGCAGGAGGATCTCTTGAGCCCAAGAGTTTGTGTCAGCCTGGAAAACAGCCAAACCACATTTAAAAATAAATAAATAAAGCTGGATGCAGCAACGTATACCTGTAATCCCACTGATTCAGGAATATGAGGCATAACAATTCCAAGTTCAAGGGCAGCCAGCCTCAGCAACAAGACCCTGTCTCAATTTAAAAAAAAAAAAAAGGATTGGAATGTAGTTCAATGGTAAAAGTGCCCCTGGGTTCAATCCCCAGTATCCTCAAACATTCCCCAGCCCTTTGTTTATTTGTTTGTTTGGAGAGTGGGTCTCACTAGATTGCTGAGACTGGCCTCAAATTGGTGATCCTCCTGCCTCAGCTTTCCAAATTGCTGAGATTACAGACATGCACCACAGCATCCAGCCTCTGTTTATCTCTTGTACACACCTGAGTGTCTTCTATGTCCTTTCCAGAGGTAGTCCTTCTGAATGGACCTGCTCCATCCACAATTTCTTAAAGAATTGAAGATGAATTTGAAAAGAAGCACTGATTTGCTTTCATTCTTGTGATAACTAAAAAAAGCCATTCTTCCTCCCTGAATGTACATAGTTTACCCTGATCCTAGCAGTGCCTGTCTGTCTCCCTTGGTAACATAACTAACATCCATGTTATCAATTCTGAGTTGTAGTGTGCCTTATTAAAATGAGGCCAAATATCAAGCAGGTCAGGTAGTTCTCACACTGTGATCCCAGTGTCTTGGAAGACTGTGGCAGGAATCTACAAAGTTTAAGACCAGCCTCAGCAATTTAGCAAGATCCTGTCTCAAAATTAAAAATAAAAAACAGCCAGGGATAAAGCTCAGTGGTAGAGCAACCCTGGGTTAATTCCCTGGTGCTACAAAAATAAATAAATTAATAATAATAAATAGGCCAAATATCCAAAAATTTGAGGATGCTTTGATTTTAATTATTTTCTTTTTCATGGAGTACTATATTATTTATTTATTTGTTTGTTTGTTTGTTTTGTATTGAAGATAGAACCCAAAGGCACCTTACCACTGATCACATCCCCAGCCATTTTATTTTTTGAGACAAGGTCTCAGGCCTCACTAAGTTTCTGAGGCTGTCTTTGAACTTGGAATGGTCTTGCCTCAGCCTCCTCCTGAGTTGCTGGGATTATAGGCTTGTGCCACTGCACCCAGCTCAGCACTTTCTTCTGATTATTTTCTTTGATGGTTCCAAGAAGTGGATAGAAGTAATAAGGGGACAACATTTCGATTTCATTTCAAAAACAAAACAATTTTGAGCGAAAAAGATGAAGACTAGAGCCAGATGCAGTGGAACACCCCTATAATACAGGCTACTCAGGAAACACCCAGGATTGCAAATTCAAGGTCAGCCTGAACAACATAGCAAGATCCTTTCTCAAAATAAAATTTTCAAAAGACTAGAAATACAGTAAGAATGAAGTATAACCTGTAGTTTTATTTAGAATTATGCCTAAAATAAACATGTGTTTCTTTTAGATAATAGTAGCTCAATACTGGGGTGTTTGCTTAACATGCACAGGCCTTAGATTCAATCCCTAGTACCATCACCACCACCACCACCAAAAAAAAAAAAAAAAAAAAGATTAAGGCTTTTAGAGAAACCTAAATGTGTTCAAGTCTAGCCTAGGGAGTTCTTACAGAATAGACTCAGATAGGGCTAGGGTTGTGGCTCCGCAGTAGAGCGCTCACAGTATTTTTTTAAAAAAAGAATAAGACTCAGGTGGTCTATGAGACTTAAACCTAAAGATTCTGTTATTTGATGATGTCTAGATAGAAATACAGTAAGAATGAAGTATAACCTGTAGTTTTATTTAGAATTATGCCTAAAATAAACATGTGTTTCTTTCAGATAACAGATAGCACATTAATCCAACTTTCTATACACTGTCCTCGGCTTCAAGTATTGGTGAGTTTGACTTTCAAGGTTAAAGATGTTTGTTTGGCTTAATCAAAACAGTACTGCCAGGCATGGTGGCTCACACCTGTAATCCCAGCAGCTTGGGAGACTGAGGCAGAGGATCTCTGTGTCAAATCCAGCCTCAGCAAAATCAAGGCAGTAAGCAACTCAGTGAGACCCTGTCTCTGAATAAAATACAAAGAAGGGCTGGGGGTGTGTGGCTCAGTGGTTGAGTGCCCCTGAGTTCAATCCCTGGTACTCCCTACACCAACAACAACAACAACAAAAAAAAAACAGTACTGTAGTTCTAGTTAAATAAGATCCAGCTCTTGTTTTCCTCTTAACTGTCTGGCTACCAGTTTTTGGTAAGGGAGTATGCTTCTCAAAATTGCCAACTTCCAAAAGATCTAGGAAAGACCTAAAAAGTAAAATGAGGACCAATCAGGCTTTACAGGGGAAGTTCTCCTTGGTACTACTTTGAGGAAGGGATTTTGGTTGATCGTATCCAGGCTCATTGTGGCATATTTGGTCGAAAGGTAATATCCAAAATTGGGCCAAGGGTTCCAAGTTTCTCAGATTCAGAAACCTAAGGAAAATTGATGAAAAGTTACATGTGAGATGGTCATACCTAACAGCTGTAAAAATTGTCTTCAGCTAATTAATTGTTGGGTCATACCCCTGCACTTGATATTCAATTTTTATTTGAGGAAATGAAAAGTTTGTATATGAAAAGTTTGATCTCTGCTTATCCCCCTGGAGAAGAAAAGTGTTGATTGGGTAGAGGGTAATTTTTAAAGTTATGTAACTTTGTTTTTGAAGTAGAGTTCATGGTCATTATGTGAATTTACAAAATATGTTTAGAATCACAMACAAAAATATCAGTCATTGTTGCCAAAAGCAGAACCCATGCAACTCTATTTTGCATTCTTTATTTCATCACACATGGATCCTAGTGATAGTTCCATAATCATCAAAATCAAACCAAAAAGGTCTTCTATCTGATTGTACACAAGTTTCTGGCTAACTGACTTCCGGAAAATATTTCAGCATCCTTCTTTGCTCTATTTGGCCACAGAGTCTATCTCACTGTGAACTGATCACAGACGATGGAATTCGTCACCTAGGAAATGGGGCCTGCGCCCATGACCAGCTGGAGGTGATTGAGCTGGACAACTGCCCACTAATCACAGATGCATCCTTGGAGCACTTGAAGAGCTGTCACAGCCTTGAGCGGATAGAACTATATGACTGCCAGCAAATCACACGGGCTGGAATCAAGAGACTCAGGGTAAAAATGGCTTCCTCACTCTCCATCTCTGATGTTCTCACCACCCTTTCTTTTATTTTCCTTCATTTTCTTTTCTTTTTATTTTTCCAAATTTAGATTCTCGTGATTTTTATATTTATTTGGACATTTAGTAAGGAGGAAAAAAAATGGAGAGAAAATGTAAGGGTAGATAATTTTTACCTGTGGCTCCAGATGGAAATTTAGTAGAACAATACCCACTGAAGAGATAAAGTAGGTCTTCTCCCAGCAGTTTGTCCAGTAATGTCCAGAGCTTAATCACATCCCCAGAGTCAAAAAAATAAAAAAGAAAAAAAAAAAAGCACATACCAGATTTTGGTTCTAAAGGAAAGGAAAGAACTAATATAAAATGTTTGGTTAAATAATAGGATTTATAAATTCAGCCTTTTTTTCCTCTTTACATCAAACCCTTTTTCTGATTTTTGTTTTTTAATTTATTTAAGTACTGGGGATTGAACCCAGCAGCGTTTTGCCATTCAACTGTATCCTCAGTCTTTTTTTTTTTTTTTTTTTTAATATTTATTTATTTATTTTTAGTTTTCCACGGACACAACATCTTTGTATGTGGTGCTGAGTATCGAACCCGGGCCGCACACATGCCAGGCGAGCACGCTACCGCTTGAGCCACATCCCCCCCTTCTTTTTTTTTTTTTTTTTTTTTTTTAAGTAGGTGTTGAACCCTGAGACAAGTCTCTGGAATTATAGGCATGATCCATCACACCTATGTTCTCCAGTTTTGTTAAAAACAGTTATCAAACTCAGTGAAAAGGTGTCTGATTCTGTGAAGAGTGTGAACAATGGTATTCTTAGAGAGAGAGAGAGAATTTTTTAATATTTATTTTTAGTTTTCAGTGGACACAACATCTTTATTTTATTTTTATGTGGTGCTGAGAATCGAACCTGGGTCGTGCCCGTGCTAGGGGAGCACTCTCTACCGCTGAGCCACAATCCCAGCCCGTGATCAGTGGTATTTTGAAACCTAAGTGAGCAGTTGCCACAATACCCTTGGCGTCAGAATTTGCCAGTTGAGAATAAATGTGACCTTAAACACCCAAGGTAGAAAGCAGGCAGGCATGGAAGTGAAGGCCTGAGGCACACAGCAGGCACTCTGCCTCCCCATGGCTGCTGACCAACCACAGAGCAAAAGCAGTTGGCCCCTATCTCCTGCTAATAAAATGGTGACAATTAAAAAAAAAAAAGTATCAAAGTTATGAGTTGAGCTGAGCATAGTGGTACACACCTGTAATCCCAGCAATTTGGGAGGCTGAGGCAGGAGGATTGCAAGTTAAAAGGCAGCCTTGGCAATTTAGTGAGGCCCTGAGCAAGTTAGCAAGACTCTGTCTCAAATTTATAATAAAATGGGCTGGGAATATGGCTCAGTGGTTAAGTACCTTTGGGTTCAATTCCTGGTACCAAAAAAAGAAGTTATGAGTTTACTTGATTATTTAGAACAGCATAGAAGGGAACAAATCTTCTGCCCTGCTTTCATGTCCATTCAGCCCCTCAGTGGTTTTTCTCGGAAGCAATGTTCTCTATCTTAGTAATGTTTCTGTCTTGTTTCAGACCCATTTACCCAATATTAAAGTCCATGCCTACTTCGCACCTGTCACTCCACCCCCATCAGTAGGGGGCAGCAGACAGCGCTTCTGCAGATGCTGCATCATCCTATGACAATGGAGGTGGTCAACTTTGGTGAACTGAATATTTAACTGACACTTCTAGAGTTACCGTGGAGTCTCTCCAGAGGAAGCAACCTGTGTTCTGGACAAGGATTACAAAGTGAGAGCAGTGTTCAGATCCCCAGAGCCACACATACATATGCATACACACCCTTACTCCCATCCACTCTAGCTCTGTGACCATGGGACTAAAATTTGTGCTGGCTTTAAGTGGATTGGTAAAACTTAACCATTTCCATTGGACATGCCCAGAAGAAAATCATAGGCCAAGGTAGAGGGAGGGGTCATTCCAGCAAACCCATTGTTACTGCTACTGTGGTTTCTTTATTTTGTTAAGGGGTTTCTTTGGGGATTTTGGAACAGTAACTACAGTCCTTCAGGGTCAAGGGAAGCATGGAAAAACAACAAATGATGTATCCAGGGACCAGAAAGAAAATTTATTTGCATCCTAGAAATGGTAGCCATCCATTGTAAGATGACTACAGAGCTTCTGTGCTTCCTGTTTCTATGCCAACATGCTGAGCATGCTCACAAAGAAGGCTTGTCCATTCCTGCCGTGTTTTAGTATTTGGCCCAGGGGTTTCCTAAATGGCTACATTGAAATCACTGTGGTCCAAACATGATTACTTATTCACTCAAATTGTCACTATCTGTATCACACTTATGCATCTGTCTTCCTTTCTCCCTTCCTCCTTTCTGCACTTTTGCTCAGTCTGTCGTACCTGTTCATAGTCTGTCTACTCACACTCAACTGTTACTCTTTTGTGTTTACAGTTTGCATTTTGGATGATTAGTTTGGGTTATCAAACATTTTKGAAAAAAAAACATCAATAAATATTTTTTTAATTCTAAATTTTACCATTAGGGGACCCTGCCTGAATCTTTGCCAGTCTGAAGGGAAATCTTAACAAAAGTAAGAAAAGTTATGAGAAGAAATCAAGCTAAAACTATTTTGATGAAAACAAACTTTGCCTTTTCATTTCTGTTTTATCTTACGATACATGATAATTTGCATGATATCCCCAGTATTCCCCCTGCAAATTTTTCTGTCAAACTCCACTAACTTAATAAAGAAATGCAGTTAGTGAAGAGTATCAGGAATGCTGCTAGAGGATCTGTGCAGACTAGCCAGTCAGTTTCTTTTTTCCCCCATCACAGCTCACCAGGAATATAAGAATGGCCATRTAACATCAGTGTTAACAGGGTAAGTAGCCAAGTGAAGGCATTGGAGCAGCTGAAAGAACACCCTGAGAGGAAGTAAGAGTTTAATGTCTGTCCAGGCACCAGAGCTGAGGAAACGAGTTCAGAACCCATGATTCAAAAAAAATTTTWAAAAAAGTCTCCCCCCCCCCCAAGAAAATCATAGAGGATGAGGGAAGATTTCAGAAGATTTCTGAATCCCAAGATTAGAAACCTTATGTAATTTTTTTAATAGGGTGATTTGGGGTAAGGGATCTTTTAAGGCATTAATGTGCAATCCACTATGATATTAGATCATCTTTTGAATGATCCTTATTATTAAAAGCGTTTTTTTTAAATGCCGAAGGTACTAGTTCTACCAGCATATATAAGAAAAAGTCTGATTTATTTATAACATTGATGTAGAAAATGATCAAATGAAAGGGTCCACATTAAATGTATTTTACCACATTAAATATAATTTAAATCCTATTTTATTATGCCCTTTTAAAAGTGCAGATTATTTTTTCCATTCCTCCTTCTCCTTATCTTCTTTTCAAATTATAAGGAATATTTATTCTCTTTCTCTCTCTCCCTCCCCGCCTCTCTCTCTGTCTCCCCACCACCACCTCCCTTTCTCTCCCTCTTGTTTTTTTGAGATGGGGGTCTCCCTATGTTACCCAGTCTGATTGTGAACTCCTGGGTTTAAATGATCCTCCCAAGGAGCTGGGCCTATGGGCTCACACCACTGCATCCAACAGGAATATTTTTTAATTTATTTTTGTTATTATTTTTGTATGTGACTGGGGATTGAACCCAGGGGCGTTTTACCACTAAATATATCCTCAGCCTTTTTTTTTTTTTTTTTTTTTTTTTTTTTTAAGACAGTCTCACTAAGTTGCCTAGGCTGGCCTTGAACTTGTGATCCTCCTGCCTTAGCCTATTGAGTTACTGAGATTAAAGGTGTGGACTTCTGTGCCTCACAGGAATATATTTTTTAGAAACCCACTCTCCTGGATGTATGCCACACATACAAATACATATATGCATACATACACTTCCAGATGTGGTTAATAATATTCAGATCCTCAGGTAGCTGGTTCAAAGAGAACTAAAAGAGAGAAACATTTACAGGCCATCTGCTCTAAAGTATGCCTATTTTTTTAATGCCTAAGCAAACTGACAATAAAACCTAGATCAGACAGTAAATATAGATTTGAATTGCCTGAGTTGAGACTATTAACTTCTTTACTTAAAAGTTTCAGCAACCCTATTATTCACTGGTATATCAAAAGTCTTGAAAATGCTGTTTCTCTCCGCAAAGGGTGTACCCATGTGCAGGTTCTAGGTTTGCATTGGTGTTACCTGCTATGAAGTCAAATTTCAGCCCATCTGGCCCATCTGAGCCAAAAACAAGTCAAGTGAAAGAGAACAAAAGTCCAAGGGTATGACTTATGGTCAGGCAAGAGCCTTGTTCTTTCTCAGGAAGCTTCAGGCCCAAAAAACTTGGAAGAAAATACACATTATTTATGCTAATTTACACCTACACCAGATGATGAATATGCTAGGATTACATGGTAAGTTTGGTCAGGTGGGAAGGATCCTGACATCAGAATGTTTCCTGTTTCAGCCTTTGGAATACTTTTTTTTTTTTTCCTTGTACTGGTACTGGAGCTTGAATCCAGGGCTTTATGTATGCTAGTATGCTAGGCAAGCATTCTACCACTAAGCTAAACCCAGAGGCACTTAACCACTAAGCTACATCCTCCAGCCTTTTTTATTTTTTTGAGGTAGGATCTCATTAGGTTGCTTAGGGCCTCACTAAATTACTGAGGCTGGCTTTGAACTTGTGACCCTCCTTCCTCGGCCTCCCAAGTTGCTGGGATTACAGGCATGCATAACCACACCCAGCTCTGAAATGGTTTTGAGAATTCAGAAAAGCTTCACGTGGGAAAAATTTTCCTTAGGAAAACCTTATTGGTCCATTTGTCTAATTTCATAGCCACTCTCAAATATGTCTTTTATAATGAAAAAACACAGAGTAAACAGAAGAGATTTAGAATAAGTAAAAAAGCTTCCCTTAAAGCTGTTGCTGTGAAGCTATGGGCGAGCAAGAAGAAATTATTGAAGTGTCTCTGGAGAAAGTTCTTGAATATACAGATCATTTACTTTTTACAGCCTTCTCATAGTTTTATCCATTTCATTTTCTAGCAGAGTTTGCTACATCAATATTTTTACATTGCGTTCATCAGCCCCACTGAGGTGATTTCAGGGTATTTTTTTGTTTTGTTTTTGTTTTTTGTACTGATATCACCTTATCCTTCCCACACCTATCCTGACCCTCTATTTAAAGCCTCCATCTCACCCTCAATAATGCTGCTGATTTATTCTCAGATGTCTCCAGTGTAGCTGCTTCTTTGAGTTCTTGTCCTGATTCAGGTAAACCATTGTGGACAGCCTTGAATTTAGTAGCTGTCAGGTGGCTTGAACCATTTTTCATTGAATGTGCTTTGATGTTTGCTTACTGAATTTTAATTGAGTTTAAAATCAAACTGTTGTATATGAGAAATAAGGGGATCTGACTTGGTTTTTCCAATATTTGGAATGCAAAAGCACATTGTGCTTTGTGTTAAAAATGTTTTCTCCTTTTACTAGATGTAAAAGTATTCCATAAATTGTTTTTGTAAATTTCCAGTCTTATTTCCACATCCATTAAGTTGATTTAGCAGACATAAGTCAGAAATTTCATATATCCCTTGTATTAAATACTTTAGAGGGAAACTTGGTGAATAATTTTATGATGCTTTTTTTGTGTGTGGCTTTGTAGACTTATTTGAATTGTGCAATATAGCCATAATGCTACAGTGACCCATCTCTTATTACTTTGTAAAGTGTATTATTGGTCTGATAGCCTACTGATGCCATAGGGGAGGGACTAAACAACATAAGCAGTGGAATCTGCCTTGGCTTGAAAGTTTTTAGGAAGCGTGAGAGTAGTAACTGAAGAGGGTGATTTATTTCCTTCCTGTGAGGGCTGCATATCCTTCTAGGTGGCAGTGTTGTTGGGAAAAGAAGATTGGTCCTTGGACATGATCGGTCCTCTGATATAGAGTGTTTATTGCACTGTAGTCCTCACAGGCTGCTCATGCCAGTTGCCACAGTGAGAGAAAGGGTATAAAGGAAAGTGCCCTCCYTATGGTGCCTCCTGGCTGACAGACTTTTTGATTGGTATGCTCTGAGCTCTGGAGCATTTTACAGAAAGATTCTTCCTCTTTCTGCCTGCCAGTTCCAGGATTTCAAACACCACAACCCCAAGCAATGTAAGTTAGCCAAGTCTCCTGTGAGAGGAAGTATAGAATGGTTGGTTGAAAGTCTTGAGGCAGAATTCCTAACCCTCCTAGATCTTGAACCAAAGAATTCTAAAACAGTATGAGGTTGAAGGGAAAACAGAGTCAGTCTCAGTTTCTCCTTACCTTTATTTCTATCATAAATTTTAATTGAAAGAGAAAGCTGATGAACTTGTCAATAGCATATAATTGACCCAAGTAATCTGAGAATAAAATGTGACTGTAATAGTTTTAGCCAAATTTCCTAACTTAACATCTTTATTCTCCAGCAAAGAGAATAGACCACTTAAGCACCGTTGCTCTAACCTTGCCTTCTTTCTTGGGATAAATTTTTCCCTGCCAGAAACTACCACATGAGGCAGATGTTTTGTATGAAGGTATTCTGCAGCTTGTCATTTTTTTTTCCTTTTAAGATAGGRTCTTGCTAAATTGACCAAACTCCCAAGATGCTTGGTTTACAGGCATGTGCCATCACACCTGGCTTCCACTTTTATTCCTAGGAATATTGATTCTGTGCCTCTGAAGCTTTTTGATTATTAGGAAAGTCAGTATGAAATCTCTCAGCTGAATCTGAGGGAACCTTAGGAATCCCAAGAGAATTACAATTAATTTTCAGGAAAAACAAAGTTTTTTGGACAAACTTACATGTGAAATGCTAGAAAATGTCCATCTCTGTTTCACATGCTATTTGCTTAAGCCATTATAGAGTTCAGTTGACAGATGTTGAGTCTCAGTGTTTGCTCAGCCAGAGTAGTTTATTGCCCTTTTAGGGAAAACCATGAGCAAGTAAACCTTTTTATTTTGTGTGTTTTCCAGTGTCTTATTTTGAAAAATTGGCATGAGGAAATGGTATGTGAGGCTCAAAAGAAAGGAACAAATCAGTTCTAGAACTGAGGTCCTTTGCCTCAAGGTCAACATCTGTACTAAGCATATAGCCACAGCTGCCTCACACCTGAGGAGGTTTACTTTCCTCTTTGTATGATGAACTCCATGTCCTTGACTGGCAATTTGGGCTTCTTTTCTACATCTCTAACCAGATCATCTAGATGGAGATTGGCACCCCTGGAAGAACCACCAGGGCTTCCCAGCTGCTTCTGGGCATGGCTTTAGTACCAGGACAAGAACATGTAGGCAGTAAACTAGAATTCTAACCCGAAGAAGAGATGGCAGAAATGAGGTGTCCAGACATGTACTTCTTCTCTTCTGCCATGCTCTCCACCCCCTGCAAACAGGGAAATATTTGAAGTAATGTGTTTATTTTGTTGTTGTTGTTGTTGTTACT